GGGACGGAAAGACTTGGACAAGCATAAAGGGTTTGCAGATATCGGAGCATGCATCTCACTATAGCCAAGGCACTCAGGTCCTGAAAGCTTCTCAGCTTTTCTTCTCCTCCGGAGATCTCCAGCGCTTTCACATACTTGGCTTTTGCAACGACTTCTCGTCTCAGGAGATCGATGTTCTTGTCGTACTTGGAGTCTCCGAGGCCGAACTGTTCAAGGGGAAAACACGAAGGATGGCTGATATTGGGGTGCAAGATGATGCCCGAACGAGAGGCACCGTTCGGAGGCAAAGGGAGGAACGATTTATGTCGTGGCTTCGCATCAGATTCAGAGCCGAAGCGAGGTTGCCCCCGGGCTTGCGGCCTTCTTACGGAGGTGCAGCTCTGTTGTATGCTCCGGCTTGGCGCCTGTGTCCTGACAGTTTCAGGGGGGAATCAGCAGCACATAGCATCACTGCCTGCAGCGAGGGAGTGGAACCCCAAACCCAAGAACTGCTCTCGCATCATCCCGGCCTCAGGCTGGGAGCCCGTGTTTGGGTCCTTGACGGCTCCCATGGCGGTGCGAATGCCTCAAGAGGCAGCCCCGCTTGCCATCGAAGTTCAATGGAGTCGGGCCGGCCACCTTTCCCGGTGCTAGAATAGCTGCCCCTTGCCCTGTGCATCCGTGCCACTTGCTGCCACTTCCTCAACTTTGGTGTTCAGAACTTCCAGCCTTAGCAAGTTGCAGTCGCTGAAAACGAAGCTGGCTCTATTTAAAAGCTACCTGGAAGAAATCGGCATCACGTGCTGGCACGGATCCCTGCTTGGGCGTTCTCAGCTTCCATGCGCTGGCTCTTATTGCCAAGGGTGCGGCATCCGTGCCTCCAAACGCTCGCCCCAGCGCTCCACCTGATCAGCTGACCGCCGAGGCGCTCTGCGCGTCAAGGTCAGATGCGACACCACGAAGCCCAAAGCCAAGAGCTGCAGCTGTGGCAGGAATCCACAAGCACTTCTACTCGACATGAATCCTCCCACATCCTCGGCTTGAGTTGCCTGGCCTTCTGCTCAAGTTGCCCCAAAAGTCGCACCTGCGGAGGTGCGTGACCGGGGAATGACTAGAACGAGACCTCTGAGGATGCAATCTCTTAAGATCGAGCTGCAAGTAACAAGGAACTCGCAAACCTTGTAACAACTGCATGTAAGGCCCGAACCCCAAGATCCATCCAAACACTGCAAGCAGTTCCTGCTTTGGAGGCGACTGGTCCGCATGGCCTCCAGCGATGTCGTCAGATCTGCCGCCGTCTCGGCACCTCGGCAGCCACCTACTGCAATCATGATGCCATGAACTGTCCTACTGAATTGTAGCATGATAGCCAGGGTCTCAGAAATTCTGCTGGCACTGCTAATGACAAAGCTTCGATAGGTGGAGGAAGCTGACTCCTTTGACAACCTGCTGATGATCTATCCAGGGTGTTGTGCTGACAACAATAAACCTTTCACGTGCAGCATCGGCACAAATGGAAGTTTAAGGGAGCTTCCTCGTTGTCCTAAACAGCCTTGACCTGGACTTTTGGGGAGCGCGCGCATCGTGCCCACTTCGGAGACCAGCTCTGCCTTCATTTGCCCATTGCCAGACACCACAAGGCAAAGAAATGAAGCGACTGCAATCGGGTTCAATCTTCTTGAGCCCTGAGCTTCAAAACGAAGCACCTCACAGAGCCTGCTGAGATAAATGCAAAACAACTTCCCTCCCTAAAACCCTAAGCCCTAAGCCCTTCTTCACGGCTGCAGCGTTCCAGGCCCTCACGGAGAGGAGCCCGCCTGCGAGCTCACTGCCCGCGAGGCCTCCGGCTCCCGCACCGGCACCTGTAGAGAGTCCAGCTGAAGTCCCCATATATTATATTATATTATGTTATATTATATTATATATATATATACATATATATGTATGTTACAATGTAAGCTACAATCTTTAGAATCTATACTGTGTGTAACAATATAATACTTCACAGATCCAATCACAGGCCGCTGGCGTTCCGGTTGCAGAAGCTGCTCCTCGTCGAAGCTCTACATAGCACGATGGCAAAGGAAAAGATAACAGACAAGGGGAAAACAAAGACAGGGTTTGGGGTTTGGGACCAGCAGGTAAACATGTACCACCATGCAGATGCCAGTCCTTGACCATAAAACCGCGAACTCCTAGGGTAAAGCCCCGAGCCCCCCGCCCTGAAGAACAGCGCAAGGCACGCCGAAGACTGCTCAAGCGAAAGGAACAAGAAGTGAGACAAAAAGGACAACTGCGATTCGACTACCTAGCTCTCTAAAGGAACCCAGATGCAAGCGAACACGTCCGGCCGGAGCACGATTGTCTTGGGCTGGAGCCAAGCCATCTCCTCTTTTGCAAGACCAAACTCGACACTCGAAACCCCAAAACTCTGAACAAACCCAAACCCAAAACTCGAAACCGTCCCTGCCCTAAACCCTAAACCCTAAACCCAAAACTCGAAACCGTCCCTGGCACGCTGGACTTGGGGTCGGCCTTTGTGTCGCCAATGCCCACTTCACTCTGCAGGGCGGAGAGCTCCTGAGGGCCGGTAGTATTGCATTGAGGGTTTTGGGGTTAGGGTTTAGGGTTAAGGGTTTAGGGTTTAGGGCTTTGGTTTAGGGTTTTGGGTTTATATTCTATTACATTTTTTATCTGTCATATGTTTTTTGGTCTGGTATGTGCTCCTAAGAGCTCTTGTTCGGAGTTCCACCGAAGCCTCAATCCAAACACTTAAGGGTATGTCGATACATCTTTCTGGGCCTGACGGTATGGCAACGTCCTTCACATGAAACTCGCCTCCAGACACCCTAACCTGACAATCGAAACGACTCGAGTAAGGAACCGACGCCTTATCTCTGTAGAACTGCTCTCTTATCAGCTCCTCCTTCAGGGCTCGGTTGCGCTGTCGGAGGGAGATGTTGAGAGGTTGTCGCTCACACGACTCGCAGCGTTGGCGAAGCCATTGCATCATGAACGACTCCGGATCCTGACCAACTGCTGATTTGTGGTCACGAAAGAAAGGCACTTTGAACTTGATGCCACCATCCCCAGTTGAAATTGACAGGAAGAAACGTTGAGGCCAATTAGGGATCGTTTTGCTCAGCCTACCTCCGGCATCGCACCCAACACGTCTTTGACGAGCTCCATGGCCAGGGGCTGCACCGTCGCCATGAGATACTCCTCCTCCCCGAAGGCTCCATAACCCCATATGAGGGTTTCCGAAAATACGGGACCCTAATGTAGTACCCTTAATAGCAGGATCCTTATTATAAGGACCCAAAAATAAGGTACCCCTTATTTTCGGAAACTCCCATATTGATTCAGGAACCAAAACGATCAATCTGGGGGTCTCTGGGTGCGCTGATTCAGACACCATGCGAATACTTACGGCCACAGCATCTAGCACGGGGCGGTTGTCACCCCTTCTCACGGTGGCTCTGAACTTGCATGGCTTGTGTTGTCGTCACACCCCGGCTTTGCGCTGTGTATCTGCTGACATCCTAACTCTTTAAATCTGTTGGCTTTCAAACCATGAAGATGATGCTGCCGCTGAAGGAAAATGAGCACGACATAGCACGACAATGGGGATAATGAGGTTGAGACTCAAAGAAACAGGACAGAATAGTGAGGATGACGACGGCGCTATGAAGAAGAAGATGATGATGACGGTTATCATAAGTAAGAGGAGTGGGAGCAATGCGAAGACGTGCCAGTCGCAACACTGCAACCCCTCCGCTTCGCCTTGGCCTGCTGGGCTGCTCGTGACGAAGGCTCGGATTTTGCAGGCTCCTGCTGGTTATCAAAGCAGCGGGAGTGCGAGAATCACTTGGATGTCCCTGCTCGGTAGCTTGGGGAAACACTACGCATCAGCCCTAGTCTCTCATATTGCGATTGCTGAGGTGGAAGCTTCTATTCGAGGCGGCGTCATCCGACCCCGAAGTCTTTTCTTTGTTACACAGAGCCATTTCGCAAACACTCAAGGCCAACATGGAACGTCCCAGACCAAGAACGGATGTGAGAGCAGCTGTAGCTCGACGAAGCGACAAAATGTTACGCGCAAACGCCCGTGCACCGCTTCCAGCTAACCAGTCGACAACCAGTCTGGGGCGAGCCTGGGCTTTAGAGAGACCTGGAAGAAAGCGAAGCCGAGGGCAAAGACCGAACTTGTCTCATTAATCCATTCGAATTAAGACGTGGATCTGTAAGGAATCTCTTTTGGGTGAACATGAAATAGAAGACTACTATCACCATCGGGGCCGATGTAAGGGTAAGTCTTAGGGATACTGTTGTTTAGGAATAGCAGTCAGTCAAGGCCCACGATCATTCATACGTATTGCTGGGGCTTTGATCTGAGACTACAGTGAAGGCTACTTTGGGAGATAGTGGAACTCGGGCCCATATTGAGCTTCCGGTATTCAAACCGAAATGCATTTCATCGTTGGAGAAATCATCTCTCGGAGTATCTGCGCGAGCGGTCGCAAGAACTGAGAGTGAAGGCTTCTGCCGATATACGTATGCTGTCTCCTCGGAACTTCAAAACCTAACGTTAGACCTGGGTCATGCACCAGAAGCCTAAGCCTAAACGTAGGAGGCTTGGTGGCGCTGTCGCGGCACGTGGTTCATGGGGGGTTAGCATATACATACATATATATATATATATTTCTATTATATATATATACACATTAATCTATAGACTAAATAAAAAGGGATAAGTACGGAATCCACCAACCGAGGCTGCTCTTTCTTGAAAGTAGGTTGCGCCAGCAAAAGCCCAAGTTGCGACACTCTACAAGCCGGGTCAAATCTGCAGCAGAGACCCCGTACAAAAGAAAGCTCAAAAGAATTGCAACCTGCCCAGAACACTGATGATGAATGGGCTTCGCCGGTCGCCTTGTTTGCTTGGGGGCCGCCTTCTCCGTGAATTTGCACACGGTCGCCCACCGCGGACATGACAATGTAACTTCGGAGTGCAAGGAGTGCAACTGATGAGCAAAATGCTGCCAGGCGAGTGAACGTTGCCAACTACGGTCGGAAACAACGCAGGCATGGAAGATGCCGAGTGCAGCCTTTGTACTCTAAGGGCTTAAGGCGTCACACCCACATCCTACCTGCAACATCTCAGCTTGAGTTTAAGGTCAGCTTTCCAATCTCCGCTGCAGGACTGAAGCCTGGAACCACCCCGGACTCACGACACCCTGTAGGTATACGGCCGATTCCTCTGAAGGACAAAGCAGGATCCTGCGAAGATGGCTCTCCCTTTTTCACCGCCATCTTCTTTCAAGCTAGAGTCGAGGCTGAATTGAATTGCAGCACTACCGGTTGACCATGGGCAACAAGCCCTACAACTTGAACATTGAGATGACATGTAAATCCTCAAATTCCCATCTCAAACCAACCTAAAGCCTAGCACGATGATCAGCCGGTTTCAGGTCGGGCCGAGTGCTTTGCAGGGACGGTGCCCGGGCAAGCATCAACGGCCACCAGAAAGCCACCCAGACCGTTTAGGGTTTAGGGTTTTAGGGTTGAGGGTTTGGGACTGGCATCATGAGCACCAGCAGCGGGGCATCAGCTGCCTTCCGTTTCAACCGTCACGGTGCCGGGGCAAGCATCATCGGCATCAGTGGCCAGCCGCTTTTTGATCGCCCTTCTGCTGAGCAGCAGCGTGCGGATCAGTGACCGAGAGAATTGAAAGTCCCGCGCGGCATCACGAGCATCATCGGCATCATGCGCCTGGGAACAAGGTCTCTAAAGGAGAGGTGTTACCAATACCTAAACCATATAAACCCCAATGCCCGAAACCCTAAACGCCAAACTATTGCTCGGGAAAGACCGGAACGACTCAGCTTAGTTTCTTTGCATTGCGAGTTCCAGGCCGGGTGTAAAATTGCAGAAACCAGAATCTCAACGCTGTGGCACAAACTCATTGCAGGGTGGAGGGTTAATTATGGGCATGAGGTTGGGGATGTCGACCCTAAGCCATAAACCCAAAAACCAAAAACCCCAAACCCTAAACCCGTAATTACACCCTACACCCCTATACCCCCAACCCTAACCCATACTCTTGAACCCCAAACCCTAAATCCAGAGTTGATGCAGGGCTTCAAGGACAAGCCTTTCGGCTGTCTTAGGAACCAATGGTTGGCGCGAATCTCCTCCTGAGCTCAACAGGAATTTAGGGTTCACGACAGGGGTTTAGGGATTTGGGCTTGGGAATAAAGACCTGGCGTGCTTCGACTCCTCCTGTTCTTTCAAAACAAGTTGGGCGTTGACTTTCGTCTGTTGGGTTTGAAACTTTGGTTGGGGGTCTATAAGCTTCTAAAGCTCTGGATTTGTTTACGGGCTTGGGTTCAGGATGGTTCAGGGGCAGGGTAGGGTACATAGCTTTCCCGACTCTCTGTCGTCTAGGCCCCAAACCCTAAACAGCACCCAAAGACATCTTGAACCCGGGGCCTGCCTTGACCACCTCAACCACAAAAGGGGCAGCCCAAAGCCCGAAATAGCCTGTCCCTTAAAGGCTTTTTTATAAGGTAATCGACATCAGGAACCCTAAAAAGGGTATGCTTTATTGGTTTTCATAAGGTAGAGTCAGATGACTTGGGCCGTCTTGGGCCCTCCTATGTGGCAGGCAGCCCCACAAGCCCTGTCTCAGTGTTGAGGCAACTCTACTGACATCCTGGTCACTTGAACTTCTGCATCGACCTTCACAACGGCTCAGGAGCATCGGACATTTTACCGCAAACCTGTGCATCTTGAGTTTTGGGATACCCGCCCTGAACACCAAAACCCAGGCCTAGACTTTCAGAACGTATTCTCTCGACCTTCCTGGCTGGCTTCTGGCTCCCGAAACCCTCACGATCCCTGTAGGGAACCCGCCAGGATTCCCCCATTTAGGAAATCCTGAAGCCCTAAGCCCTTCGGCCCAGTCTAAGCGGACCCACCCGCGCCTTTCTGTTCGTTCCGGCTTAGAAGCCAATCCAAAGAATGGCTCCTGGGCTCGGGGTCGAGGCTCTTTAGTGTTTAGGGCTTAGGGTTTAAGGTTTGGGGCTATAGGGTTCAGCCAGGAAGGCGTCAGTGATTCAGGAATCAAAGGTTCCGACGTTTTTATGTTTACAGGTGCAGCAGCCAGAAAGAGTACGCACATTTTTCTTGAGCCAA